AGAGAGACTACTTTTTGAGGGGAAGGAGCAAATATTTGATGATATCCAGTCCACAGATGCTATTTCTCTCCTATATAAATTTTCCTCACATCTAGGCGGTATTGCTTTGGCTCAGGGGTTTCCCACATTTGCTGCGTTCATCCGTCTCTTGTCTGGGTGAGGTTTCTAAACGCTGGGGGCTGTATTGCAGTAGGATGCTCCCTGGCATTTCTCCCAGGCTAAGGCTTTGCCGCTGGCAGCAGGAAATTCAGCTGGCTTTTGCCTGCTGGGTGCTTGAGGAACCCCCTCAGAGATGGGGAACTCTGTCCATGGGTAGCTGGGTTCTGGATGTCACAGAAAAGAATTTTGGGGTGACTCAGAATAAAGGAACGTTAGGGAGCTTAGTGGGTGAGCAGAAAGGCAAGGTGCACGTGAAGGGGTGAAGTTCGGGTGTTAGGAGAGAAACACACCTGAGAGCCTCAGCAGTCGCTGCCACTGTGATCATGAGCTGAGGGCTTCGAGCTTCACCATCTGAACCTAAGCTTAGGAACTGGAGGAAGTACGTACTGGTGTGTTCTTTCTTCTTATTCTCCAAGTTCTGTCCTCGAAGAGGAGACTGTTTTGGAGAAGGGGATCATAGCAGAGATATACCACCAGTCAAAGGGATCGTCACCACTTATAACACATCACAAGGAGGTTGGACTCACACACTGGCTCATTAGCCATCTTTTAAAAAATGATTGCTTTTTATTTTAGGTGCATGGATTGGCGATTTGCCTACATGTATGTCCATGTAAGGGTGTTGGGTCACTTGGAACTGGAATTACGGACAAGTATGAGCTGCCATGTGGGTGTTGGAAATTGAACCCGGGTCCTCTGGAAGAGCAACCAGGGATCTTAACTGCTGAGACATCTCTCCAGTCCCTTATAAGCCATCTTTTTGGTTTTTGGGTTTTTTTTTTTAGTTTATTTTTTCAAGACAGGGTTTCTCTGTGTAGTTTTGGTACCTGTCCTGGATCTCGCTCTATAGATCAGGCCGGCCTCGAACTCACAGAGATCCACCTGGCTCTGCCTCCCGAGTGCTGGGATTAAAGGCCTGTGCCACCGACGCCCGGCTCATGAAGCCATCTTTAACATTCCGGTTTCTGGCATGTCTCTCAAGAAGGGGGGTAGAGTTCTTCTGCAGGTGGCCTGGTCAGTGTTGCAGCTGCCCGGGTGTCAGCCAGCCAGGGTGAGAGACCAGAACTAGGAAAGTTGAAGAGGGTTTTTTTCCTTATGTCCCCTCTATTTCTTTCTTTCTTTCTTTTTTTTCTTTTTTTTTTGGTTTTTCGAGACAGGATTTCTCTGTTTAGCTTTGGAGCCTTTCCTGGAACTCACTCTGTAGCCCAGGCTGGCCTCGAACTCACAGAGATCTGCCTGCCTCTGCCTCCCGAGTGCTGGGATTAAAGGCGTGTGCCACCACCGCCCGGCGTCCCCTCTATTTCTTAAGCATGCTTCCTACCTCAGTTTCCCTTTTGTGTTGATTCTCAGCAATCAGTTGACAGATTTCTGATAAAGGTTTTCCCCACACAGCCCACCTTTAAATGAGATCACTAAAACCAGAATGAACAGAGCTCTGAAGGTATATTGAGGAAACCTCCAGTTAAGTTTCTCCTGCCGTACTCTTAAGCAACACAGTGAATGCTTCGAAAAAAGGTATAGGATCTTCAACATACTCATAGAGCAGGCAGGCAGGCAGGCAGGCGAGCAGGTGGGCAGGCAAGCAAGCAAGCAAGCAGTTCTGAGCCAGCATCCTCAAATCCAGTCCATCTCAGACGCTGTCTTCCAGGAGACACCTCAGATCCCACAGGGTGAGTACTCAGTCCTCAAGGCTGCTGCCCGCGTTAGATGCCAGCCACAATCCCGGGATGTTTCACCTGCACTTGTGATGGCCTGTTCTAAGGTAGCATTCCCACAGCTCCTCCTTGGTTCCGTTTCTTCACTAAAGCAGCTCATAGACCTTGATGCTTAGTGGCTTGTTGTGAAGGATACTACAAAGGTTACTGGTAAACTCCAGATGCTGATGTGGGGGAAGGGTGAGCTACCCTCCGGCAACATGCTCACTTATACTGGTTAGTCAATTTCTGTCCTTTTGAGTTTTATGAAGGTCTCATTACAGAGGCATAATTGATTAGATCATTACATATTGTTGATCGGCTTAACTTTTAGGGGATGGGGACAGAAGGTCCCGATGACTCTCTAATCTTGTTTTGATTTTTTCAGGTAACAGCCTCCATCTAAAGCTACCTAGGGTTTGCCATTGTCTGCACACATAAACCTGCCAAACTTGTTAGTATAAATAAAAAGCTTCCTTCATACTGACATCTAAATTAAGGTCCAAAAATTTCTCACATTCAATTATATCCAAAGAGGGCTTTGCTTTAAAAAAAATTTTTTGACTTTGATTCTAGAATGAGGCCATACTTTTGTTTTCTAAAACAGAGCAAATCTTCCCCACAGAGGTGTTTCTTGAAGTGAAATGTTTGATGGGAAATTCTTTTCTACTTCGTGCACTTTCTGTTTTTTCCTGACTCTGTTTCACGGGGAGAGAAGTAACTTGATTGGAAATCTTTTACATGGCTTCTCTCTCTGCTGACTAATTTCCCAGGCTTCTTCTGGTCTCTACAATTCTTCCTCCAACATCTATGACTCTAGTGAACATGATCCAGTTTTGTGATGAGCTATTGTGACATAACTGTGTATCTGGGGTTCCTGGTTCCTGCCACATTAGTCCTAAAGCCCTTTGAGTGTGTGGGTGGCGGTAAATTTCTTGTATGCCAATGAGATAAATGGGGGACTTAGTTGCTTTGGGATGGGGCCTGGTCTCTAAGAAGGCCAATACTGCTGGGACTTTCAGGCCCATTTACACTTCCGAAGTAGTGAGAGGAACTAAACTGCTCACTAAAGGTTACATTGACCATTAGTGGCCAATGGCATTACTATTCATCAACCCTGTCTGCATAATAAAACCTCCATACAACCCCCAAGGGGGCTGGCTCAGAGGTTCTGGATTTCTGAACATTTGGAGGTTACTAGAAGGTTATGAATCAAGAGCAGTGAGTGGGTCTTTATCCAAGTCCTTTGCCTATGCATAAGTTCTATATGCATGCTTGTCAGTACCATCTGCAATCTTATTCATAATAAGCTAGCCAATTTTGTTAACTGTTTGGGATAGGGTCTCCCACTATAGCTCCGGCTGGCCTGGGTCTCACAGTGACCCTCCTGACTTACCATCCTAAGGGCTAAGTTAGCATTTCTAACCCTTCTGAGTTCTGTGAACCATTTTAGCAAATTGAACTCAATGATGATTTGTGGGAACCCCAACTGGTGACCGAAGAGGGGCCTCTTAGCAACTCAGCCTTCAACCTGTGGGTTCTGACCCCATCTCCAGGTACATTATGCCAGAGCTGAATTGGAGGGTACCCATCTGGTATCTGCAGGACATGTGCTGGGCATGTATGTGTTGGGGTCACAGAAGTCTTTGTGCTGTATTGAGTGTATGGAAGCAGGAAAAACAGTTTAGCTATTCCTGTCTCTTACAGTGACTTTAAAAATCTCTGGCAGCCTGGGCCACAAAGGCAAATATCCCATAATAGCAGATTCTTTGCAGTCTTTCCTATTAATGATAAATAGTGATTTTAGGGCTGGTGATTTTAGAGCTAGATGGTAACACACTTGCTTTGCAATTATGAGAACTTGAATTCAATCCTAGGACTCACATTAAAAAAGTCAACGAGAACCCTGCAGAGATAGCTCAGTAGTTAAGGGCATTGACCGCTTCTTCCAGAGGACATGGGTTCAATTCCCAGCACCCACTTGGCGGCTCAAGGTAACTCCAGTCCCAGAGGATCTGATACCCTCTTCTAGGCACCAGGTACTCATGTGGTGCACAGACATATATGTAGGCAGAATACACACACACACAAAAGCCAGTGGGCAGTTGAGGTGGTTTAGCAGGTGAAAATACTTTTCACCAAGCCTGGCAACCTGATTGGCCAGTGTCTGAGCTCAATGGTAGGCAGCTCATTGGTGAGTCCAGGCTGACTCTTGTTTGCCTTGGTTGGTAGGATAGGTTGATAGCCGATGTGTTTTTAATCCCTGGGTCTGTGCTTGCGAGCTCTGGGACACCATTTATGTCTTTGTGTGTGGGTAAAAAACAAGTTTGATCCCTGTGCGCCCCTTTCCAGTATCTGATTTTATTCCTCTTAACCCTCATTTGAGTGGTTTTCATCTGTCTCAGCAAAAGATGATTTTCACTTGCTGTTTTTTTAAAGAAGTGTTTGTTACACTTCATTTTGTGTCCATGTATGTGTGTGCACACACACCGGGGTGCATGTATAGAGGTCAGAGGACAATCTGTGGGAGTCATTTTGCTCCTTTCATTATGTGGGTCCTGGGGGTTCAGTTCAGGCCCCCGGGCTTGTCAGCAAGCCTTTAGCCATGAAGCCATCCCACAAGCCCCTTCACTTTGTAATGTGGAATTAACCTCTGACAGCAGGCAGAAATTACTATAAGAAGTACTTTAAGAAGGCCAGACAAGGGGCTGGAGAGATAGCTCAGCAGTTAAGAGCACTAGCTGCTCTTCCAGAGGATCTGGGTTCAATTCCCAGCACCCACATGGCAGCTCACAACTGTC